GTTAAGGACCTATGAAGAACCATGGAAGACACTTGTAACCTTTTCAAACCAAATTTCTTCGAGAAACTCCAAACCCTAGTTGTAGGCCTTCGGTTTAGGAGGGGCATCTTGACTAGTCAACCCTATAGTGTTTTGACAAGCCTTGAAAAAAAGTATTGAAGAAAATTAGAGGGAAAATTTTAAGGTACAACAGCTGCCCCTGTTCAATCCTCTTAAACCTGAAGAGTTAGTTTGGCTTGTTTTCCATTCGTGACTTGAGGGTAGAAGATGATTGAACACTTAAGTGCCCAGAAATTTGCACTCGCTTGTGCAAGAAGTAATGTTGTTGGTTGATTGTACCGAGAATGGGATTAGAGATGCCATTCAGAGAGGTGACAGAGAATTGTTGGATATGGGCTTAAAGATGCCATCCAAAGGTGATGGAGAGTCGTCTGATATGGGCTTATTGATGCCATCTAAAGTAATTGTTGATAGAAATATAAGAATAAGTGTATGCTTTACTTGGTCACTAAGAGATGTATCCGGAAGGGGTCTACGCTTGACTACTGCTTTAATAGGTAATGGAAGGAGTTTACGCACGACTACTACTTTAATAAGTATTAGAAGGAATCTATGGTGACTACTACTTTAGAAGGTACTGGGAGGAATCTATGGTGACTACTACTTCAAAGGGTACAAGAAGGAATCTATGGTGACTACTACTTCGAAGGGTACTAGAAGGATTCTATCGAGAATACTACTTCATAAGGTACTGGAAAGAATCTATGGCGACTACTACTTTAAAGGGTACCAGAAGGAATCTATGGCGACTACTACATCAAACGGTACTAGAAGGAATCTATGGTGACTACTACTTTAAAGGGTACCAGAAGGAATCTATGGCGACTACTACTTCACAAGATATTGGAAGGAATCTATTGCGACTAATACTTCAAAGGGTACCAGAAGGAATTTATGGCAAATACTACTTCAAAGGGTACTAGAAGGAATCTATGGCGACTACTACTTCAAAGGATACTATAAGGAATCTATGGCAACTTCTACTTCACAAGGTACTAGAAGGAATCTATGGCGACTTGTACTTCAAAGGGTACCAGAAGGAATCTATGACGAATGCTACTTCACAAGGTACTAGAAGGAATCTATGGCGACTACTACTTCAAAGGGTACCAGAAGGAATCTATGGCGACTACTACTTCAATGGGTACCAAAAGGAATCAATGGCGACTACTACTTCAAAGGGTACTAGAAGGAATCTATGGCGACTACTACTTCAAAGGGTACCATAAGGAATTGGCCTTTGATTTTGTTTGAATGATGCACAAGAAGATGTATATGCCTGACTTCATCTAGAAGAGATATTTTTCAGAATGACTTTCTAGGTAAAGTCTTTGAGGAACATACTTGTCATAATTTAGTTTCTGAAGAAATTTGTATTGTCATGTAGAGAGTTGATGATATTCGTCTGTTTATAGAATTTACCTGAAAAGATAACGAGTTAACTGTATGCAATGTCATGATGTATAAAATGCATTGCATAATGACGTTCTCAAAATAAATTAGACTATGCATATGCGTTTCGTATGCATATGCTATGATATTGGTAAATGATGGTTATGTGAAATGTTATTGAAGTGCATTCGCAAATTTGAGCAAAATCTTAGTCTGGGGAAATCAATCCCTGATTGTTGCTGGGGATGAAGAGTATGTGTATCTTCGATCTTCTAGGGATTGTTTCGGCCTTGGGACTCCTGCTTTTTTATTTCCGCCAGGGACTCTTGCTTTTTCCTTGAGGAAACTCTGTTGGAGAGTGTTCATTCCAGCTCGGGGAGAAGACTTTAAGAACGTTGGTTATTCATTGCTCTACTGAGGAGTTTATACCCTGATTGGGGTTAAAAGAGATGAATATTCCTTCTGACTCGCCTGGGGAGGAGAAAGTTGACTGACATCTTGTCCGGTTTCAAGTTTCGTAGCAACTCCCTAGGGATAGTGACGACTTCATTGGGGAGAGGAATTTAGCCAGTGATTTGTGGTCGAAGCACACTCAAGCTGGGGAGTGTCAGAATAAATCTATGCCTAGATTGTATCTGAGGATGTATGGAATGGGTATCAGAATGATATCCATATCTGGACTGTATCTGAACCATATCTGGAAGATGCATTGAATGAGTATCAGAATGACATCCATATCTGGATCGTATTTGAACTGTATCTGGAAGATGTACTGAATGAGTATCAAAATAACATACATACATGGATCGTATCTGAATTGTATCTAGAATGATTGTTTGAATGAATCTATATTTAGATTGTATCTGAATTGTATCTAGAAATGGATCTGGAATGAGTGCCAGAATGAATCTATATTTAGGCTGTAACTGAACTGTATCTAGAAGTGCATCTTGAATGAGTGTCAGAATGAATCTATATTTAGACTCTATCTAAACTATTTCTAAACGACGATCTGGAATGAGTGTCAGAATGAATCTATATTTAGATTGTAACTAAATTATATCTAGAAATGGATCTGGAATGAGTGTCAGAATGAATCTATATTTAGACTGTATCTGAACTGTATCTAGATGATGGTCTGGAATGAGTGTTAGAATGAATCTATATTCAGATTGTATCTAAAATTTATCTAGAAGTGGATCTAGAATGAGTGTCAGAATGAATCTATATATAGATTGTATCTGAAATATATCTAGAAGAGAATCTGTTTGGGGAAATAAACCTTGTTGATGGAGAAATACTCTTATTGAGGAAACACCCTTGTTAAGGAAATGAACTCTACTGGAGAGCAGAAGTATGAAGGGGTTTTACAACCTCAGAGGTACAAGTTCAGCTGGGGAAGAGAAACTCCATGAACTGTACTAATCGGAACTCCGTAGGTTGGTGATATTTCTGTGGAGAAGATCATACTCCTTTATCAGCCAGAGCAATTTGCCATGGAAATTGCAGGGAATATATGAACTTATAAAGATTACCCTGTAGGGATAATCTCATGGAAGTGGCTCTGTGGGGATTTATGGAGACTTGAACATACCTCTACTTCTAGATCCCTTGATGAATGCTGATTGGGGTGACAAATCTTCTACTGATAGCAGGTGACGAGATGACGGGGCATAATCGTACACTTTAATCCCTAACTTTTTCCTGGACTGTCATTTCATATTTTCAGTCCACCGGGATACCGTTTTTTCCTAATCCGCATTTAGAGAGACAAAGAGTCGTTCAAAGAATATGTGCAGCGTTGGCGCAAGATAGCTGCCCAGGTGGTGCCACCTATGGGAGAACAAGAAATGACCAAGGTCTTCCTAAAAACCCTTAGATCATTCTATTATGAAAGAATGATTTCCAGTGCACCGAGTGATTTCACCGAGATTGTGAGCATGAGTATTTGTTTAGAAGAAGCTGTCAGAGAAGGGAGCTTGACAAAAGAGAAAGAGAAAAAGAAGTCATCATTCGACACTCGACACAACAGCAACATTCGATACAACGGCTTCTCTGATCCATCTTAAGTTGAAATACCAAAAACATTTATAATAAGCCGATAAGGATAAGCAATGACTTGTCTAAATCAAAGAATATATACAAACAAGTTAAAAGAGAGAGAATAATACTAAATTTTCCTGGGGTTTGGATTCACTAATAAGTGCAGCGTTTTGTGATCTTGGAAGAAAGCTTAAATCCCCTTAGTTTCAGGGGAGAGTATTAGGAATGTAATATTGTGAGTTAGTTATAAAAATAGGAAGTTAGTTATAACTGTAGGCTAAGAGTTAGTTAGAAAAGTAATTATGAAAGAGATAATGTGTTATCTGATAACAAGTATTTATTTATTATAAGATCACAAATACTCCATTAACAATCATACTAGTTTTCATAAATATATATTTTTTATAACACAAGAAAACAGGAATAAAACTACTGAAATCCATATATTTATAATTTGTAAGGTGTTTCTCGTGCTCAGACTAGTTGCAGTGACACCGACTCTCTAAGCACTGATCTGATTTAGCCTTCATCTGCACACAGAATCTCTCAATATATGAGTCGCTGACTTTGGAATTTCTAAGCTCGTTCTCATACAACCTGCCGTGTGACGAAAGCGAGCGCCTATCCAGCTCTTCCACTTTTAGAATGTTCAAAGATGAATATTCTGTAAGTCAATCCACTATAAGTGATTCCTTCCACTTTCCTACCGAAGAGATGGTACACCAGTGTATTTCAAAAGACCTAGATTGGGCATCTACGACTTTCAAACTTTGGAAAGCTCTTACTAATGAGAAACTGAACAGCTGGGAAGGACTTTTTCCTTCATCCATTCACAATCCCGCATACAGATACTTCCGCCGTGTCATCTCCAACACCGTTTTTAGGAGAATGAACAACAACAAAGTTAATTCTAAAGAGTTGTTCCTCTTCCATTGTACCTTCACCCCGGCAAAAAGATCAATGCAAGCACCTTCCTCCTATCACATATCCAGTCCTTGTATGCCAGAGGTTCTCCGCCTTTCTGCATTGGCGGGCTAGTCACCTCTATAGCACTTGACCTTCACCTCGTAGACAAGTTTGCAAATTTTCCATCACTGTTGCTCACTTTCATTGACATTGACAACTGTCGGGCTGGCCACTTGATTAAGGTCAGAAGAGATGGTAGGTACAACCTCATGGTGAGTAACAAGGTAGTTCACAGTGTCATTTTGTCGAACTTTGCACTTACTAATATTACAAACTAGGATACATGGCTTTATGACCTTAATGCTCCTGCACCTGGAGATAATGCATGAAGCGACCAGGGGAATGTTCAAACGGATGAAATGGAGCAAGAAATGGAACAAGGAGACACTAAACAACAAGCTCCTCCTAAAAACGTGGAAAGCATGTCTACTAGGCCCAAAAGAAGACGAGAAAAAGTATCGACCTCGAATGATGACATTATGGCTGCCATAATGGAATAGGATGAGGGAATGCAAGCCATGCAGAACAATCAAAATGCGATGATGCAACTGATGTTGGCCATGCAAACTCAGCATAAAGAATATGACAAAAGAAACGAGCGTCGGGCTGGAAGATTACCCAAGGAAATGGCGGCCTTAACTGTACGCATGGATGGTTTTCAAGATTATGTATACAATATGGATATGCCCCATCCTTCGGGTACACGTGGACGAGCATGAGGGTGGGGAAGAGGACGCAATAATGAGAAAGAATAGATCTATTTTGTTTCTCTTCTCGTTCCCCTCTTGTTTTAAGCATTGGGACATTGCTTGTTTCAAGCTTAGGGGAGCTAGTTAGTTAAGAACTCTTTGTTGTTTCCTAGGTAGATCTTTCATTCCTATTTCTTATCATTAAAATAATCTTTGTACTTTCAACTTCATTTATGCAATTTTTCCGTTATCCAATTTCCCCACTTTCTTGAGCCATAACAAAAAATATATTCGTTACTTGCATGATGTGACGCGTTCAAAGAGTATACAGGTTGCTCATCTTTTAAGGAAAATGAGAACTTTGAGCAAAACTGAAGCTTGATCGATACCGGCGTAAATCTCTAAATCCCTAAATTACACTAGATAGATTTCAGTACCCTTTATACTGAAACCTTACGCTTTAGCTTTAAAGTAACCCAGAGTAGTTTATTTAACAGTCAGCACCGTCTTGGACACAAACTACGTAGGGAGTCGATGAGTATAAGTGAATGATCCAGTATATTTGAAAGATACTTAAGAAAACAGGGAATGCACCAATTAAGTTAGGCGACCCTCACCCGATCAATTAATCCAACGGATGTAGTACCTACATAATATAACAATAAGAAACTCGTTGTCAGTTGGTTCAGAGGCATCTGGTACTAAACTTGGTAGGGTCGACTATGGTCTGATCCCCTGTAACTTGCAATTGGGAGAGTTAAAGAAGGTTACCGCATTTATGTTCCAGAACCTCATTGCTTCAAAGGATCATAGTCACTAACCGGATACTCTACTATGTGTGTGTAAAGATAAAGGGCTTAATGCGATTGTGCTAGAATTAAAACGGGTGAAATTTAGCGTAAAGAACTAGGTTAAGTTATAGTGGCATGACTGGAATTGGTCTGCACAATGGGGGGCGTTTAGTGTTATCATTGTAAATATATACGCCTATGTTTCTGCAAGAACACTAAAAACCTCTTACAATTCAAATCACATCGTGAATTTGTATTTAACATATGCTATATTATTTTTAATTTTATTTTATTACTTGAGGTCAAGCAAAAGTTCAAGCTTAGGGGAGTTTGATAACACGAAAAGATATAGCATTTTCCACCCAAATTACATAGATTAAATTTCCGATTCTTCATTTATTATGTCACATTTTATCCCTTTTTGTAGTTCTTGAAACATATTTCATGTACTTATCTTTTGCAAGGCATAAATGAGAAAAGGAAGAAAAAGAATGGAAAAATGAAGAAGAAATGGCTATTAAACAGCAAAATGCAGCATTTTGTAATCAGAAGTGTACCACCCGTCACAAGGATGTTACAACCGGGACAGATTGAGTTTTTATGCCCCTCGCCATGTTTCATGTTACGACTAGGATATATAAGATTTTTGTGCCACACGTCACGCACATGTCACGCTCGCCATGATCCATAACAGTTACGAACCTTTCGCCATGAAGCGCACTAAACGCATGTTCACCTGGATTTTCTCCACGCTTCAAGAACGAGAATTATGGGACGTTTCCTATTTTTCCTCAACTAATGGACTCTATATATTGAAGCAGTTATCGAAAATTCAGGCTCTCTCTCTCTCTCTCTCTCTCTCTCTCTCTCTCTCTCTCTCTCTCTCTCTCTCTCTCTCTCTCTCTCTCTCTCTCTCTCTCTCTCTCTCTCTCTCTCTCTCTCTATCTATCTCTCTCTCTCTCTCGCACCCTGAACAATTGTTACGCAGTTTTATTTTCATTCATTTTCTCTGCTCAACATTACTTTTGTATTCTATTTTGATATTTTCCAGTGTAGATTTCTAGCATTAATTGTCTAGATTTCGTAGAACTACTTAGGCAATAAAAAAAAACCCCATAAAAGCAGTATTTTTCCACATCATAGAAATACTGCAACACTAGTTTTGTTTCCAGACTTCCAGAATTTGTTTAGGATTACTTTAATTTAATTCGAGATATTTTTGCTACAAGTCAATCATGTCGGCTTATGGAGGATACACATTACTCAGAATTAATCGCTTTATTATTCATTTTCAGGTTCCTATTTTAATAAGTATTATTTATTTATTTCATACCATGCATGCGTTGTTGAATTTACATTTTAATTTTATGTTGTTCTGCGATAAAATTATGTCTGGCTAGATTCCCTGATACCGGTATTTAAAACTTAACCGAAAGGATTCGGTAATTAACTGGCATTATAATTTTTACAAAAACACTTTTCTGGTTTTAATTTCCAATTTGAATATTAAATTATTTTTGTACGGAAGTGAGACAATCTAAGGTTAAAATCAACAGAGCAGAAGTTTGAGGTTTTAACTAGATAGTGGTTATTAAAACATTTATTTTAAAAACAGAGGAAGCGCTTTAAAGTTAATTATACTGTATTTGTTTTCAAAAAAAAATTTGAGTTTTAAATGAAACAGCGGAAGCACTCATTTCGAGCTTAACTGATATGATTTGATTCAATAGAACTGAAGTTTGAGACGAGGGTCTTTGAACAAAAAATTTTCACCGAAATGGTGTTTTAATACTAAAAACAAATGCCAATGACTTACTGAATCCCTTAAGTTGATGAAATACATATTGATGTCCCGTTATTAATTATTAGACTTTAGTTAATTCTTGATATAACCCAAACACCCCGATTTTATAATTAGCCTTAGCTTTACATAGTGACCCTAAAATAGCAGTAGTTTTGACAATCAGTTCTTGTGGGTTTGATATCTTTTAAAACTACGCGGAAGATTGTGCACTTGCAGTCACTACACCCGATAGACCTACAGAGTCGCGATCAAAATTATTTGTTCTTTTCTTCCTCCTTTAGATATAATTATCTTACCATTGATTAGTAAGAAGACATATCATTGGATGTGAAGGGACATTTATGGGTCATCGTACAGTCATAGAAGGCAACATTGTAGGAAACTTTAGCAATTTTTCGTTAAGGTCTAAGATTGTTTACCGAAGGCAACGTCGAAGGGTCATCGAGGGACTAAGATCTTGTAATCGAGGGGTCTTTGTTAAAGTGTCCCACGTTCGAGGGACATGACTGTTTAATAAGAGGCAACAAGTGTGGGTTACCCTAGAGGTGCAAGTGTGCGAAGTGTATTGTTTTCATGCATTTGTCTTTGAATTAGGGTTATCTACTTGTTGATTTTAAGTCTTTTCCTACAAACCCTAATTACTAGCAATAATATGGAAAACGATAAATTGTGAAAATTGAAATTTCTATGTTATTACATAATTTTAGGGGATCGTGATACAAATTACAAATGGGGATAAAATCAATTAAAACCTAGTTACTATTATAACCAAATTGAATAATGCAAAATAAAATATGCAAGAATACAAAGGAAAAAGAAAAGAAAATTGTTTTTTATGGTTTTTTGTATGAAAAGGTTTTAAAGTTGATAAAAGAAAGGGGTAAATTAATTAGATTCCTAAATTATAAGTTAATTTAAATTAAAAGAGAAAGTTAAAATAAAACCTAAGTCTAAATTTACTTTAATTAAATTAATAAAGTACATATTCTTTTGAGTTTTTTTGTTTAAAAGAAATGAAATAAAAATAGAAATAAACTAATAATATTTTTAGTCTAAGTATTTAATAAAAATATATTTATGTACTTTTTAATAATAAAAATAAAAATAATAAAAGAAAGAAAAGAAAGTAAAATGAAAATATGAAGAAAAAAAAGTCAGGGGTTAGAAAAGAAATTAGGAGCTTAATAAGAAAAACAATTTTTTGTTTGGTTTAGGTCCAAACAGATTTTTGTGTAAGTCCGAAAATAAAATAAAAAACAAAACAAAATAAAATGGGCTGCGTGTTGTTAGCATTCATGGGGGGTGAGAGGAAATAAAATAAAAAGCCCCAACAGAAGGAAGCCCAGGCGTGCATGTCCAAACAGAAAACAAAGAACAAGAAAAAATGTGAAAAATGCAAAAGTTCTCGCTGGGGCTCGAACCTGGGACCTTCTACACAAATGCCTTACGCGCGCTTCACCATGATTTCAAATATATAAATAACTTAAGCAATGGATCAAAGAGACCATGAATTTTAAATGGTACCAAATTCTAAACTAATTTTTCAGGAAGTTCAAACTCAAAATTCACACTACTCAGGCAATATAAATGAATTCTAAGGGCATGATTGGTTTCAGGGCTATGATGTCTATATTTTATCCTTGAAAATGGAAACCAAATGATGCCTGTATGAAGAGTTAAAAAATCAGAAAACTCACCTTGCAAATGGAGATCATATATTGAGTTAGAGCTTACTTCAAGGTGCTGCAATGATCTGGTTAGCTTCCTTGTACTTCCAGGAAGTATTCAAATAGTTACTTTGAGCTGAGAGTGTCTGAAATGTTCTAGAGAAGTCAAGGTGAAAGCTTATGTTTTTGAAAATGGAGGATGGTGAAGATGGAGTTACAGAAGTGTAACATGTATTGGGATGGCTTCTATATGTGTTATAGAAGCTTGGTGAATGAAAATAATGGAAAATGCACGAGTGGTTTGTGAGATGGCTACCAAAAATCAAAAATGGAAAGAAAAAAAGTGAGGCTTGGGAGCAATTCTAAGTTTGAGGGAGTTTTAGGGAGTTTTCAGAATTGTAATTTTGTGTCCTAGGCTTGTGAATGAAGGTTCAATTTATAGGTAAAGGTTTGGAAGCTTGGAGGGGTCAGATACAAGAGTTCACGTGTTATGGTCATTTGACTTGTTTTTTAAGAAAGCTTGACAGGGATTGTTCCTAGGCAAGGTACAAGAATATCTAAAGTCATTAGGCACTTTAAACATTCTTATCTGATGGTGTAAAGGATGCTTGTGCAGAGAGAACAAATGCAAATCTCAAGATAAGTTGACTTATTGATTAAAGTCACTTTACTAGAATGACAATGTTACTTTGTGCCATTAATGGAAATGCAACTTGGTTAAGGACTCAAATTCTTGGACAATGGCTCT